AAGATAAATGACGTCTCACGTTTGCATTTCATTAAATTCAATGCACGACATTTACACAGTCAGAAAAATGAAGAACCCGTAAAATGTATGAATATATCCTGAATATGTCATACTACTTTTGCTTACAAACATAAGCACGAATCACATAAATTACTTAATGTTTGTTTGTTTTTTTAAAGAAAAATGCCAGCTAATGGATTCTTAGCGTTAACTGTCGGGATACTATGCATTTTATGTTGTGTCACAAGTAAACTCAGCAACCTGTGAGAGACCACTGCTGCTGCAGCTCACTGTGATTAGCATCAGATTAGCTTTGTGCTACCCACTATAAACATTACCCACTGTAAACATTATCCACTATATCTAAAAAAGTTAAATCTGGTCCTCTGGACATTTTAAAAAACAAACCAAAACAAAGCAAAACAACAACAACAAAAAATGTAGAAATGTTTCGTCTCTCATCCGAGAGACTTCCTCAGTCTGAGGTGCTGTTTTCAGCTCAGTCTCTTAAATAGCACCGTCTCAGAGTGGATCAACCAGTTTTGCTGCTGACAACCAAAACCAGCTGATCACATGCTCAAGAAGGACCATCAGCCTAACAATGGATCATTAGCACACTGATGGCTGTTTACTGTTCACAGAGGGCTGAGTGATACTAGCAATCACAGCATTGTAAGAGGGGGACAATTGAACCCGGAGGCCTCCACCCCTGTTTAATGATGGACGATTTCTTTTCACAAAGATGGCCTCCTTTACTCCTCTCTCAAACCATTGTTCCTCTCTGTCCAGGATGTGAACATCTTCATCCCTGAAAGAGTGACCGCTGGCCTGGAGATGAGTGTAGACCTCAGAGTCCTGGCCTGATGATGTTGATCTTCTGTGCTGGGCCATCCTTTTGGCCAGTGGCTGTTTTGTTTCCCCGATGTAAGACTGATCACAGCCCTCCTGACACTGAACAACATACACAACATTACTCTGTTTGTGCCGGGGGACTGGATCTTTGGGATGAACCAGTCTTTGCCATAATGTATTTTGGGGTTTAAAAGCCACTGGGACGATGTGTTTAGAAAATAAACGTCTCAGTTTCTCTGATACTCCCTCAACATATGGAATGACCACTGGTCTGGGTCTGGGTTCCTCCTTTTCACCTGTTGGCTGACTGGAGTCCTGTTTGGGTTTCTTCTCTGCTTTTAGGAAGGCCCAGTTAGAATATCCACATTGCTCTAGAGCCTGTCTTGTGTGGGATTTCTCCTTCTGCCTGGCTCCCGAGTTAGTCTGGACGCTGTCTGCTCTGTGGTACAGAGTCCTGATGACTCCTAACTTGTGCTCCAAAGGGTGATGGGAGTCAAACTGCAAATACTGGTCTGTGTGGGTGGGTTTGCGGTACACCTCAGTTTGCAAATGTCCTCTATCAGAGACTGAGACCTCACAGTCCAAGAAAGCCAACTTGCCATTTTTTACATCTTCTCGTGTGAACTTGATGTATTTATCCACAAGTTGATGTGGTCAGTAAAATGTTGGACTTCCTGAGATTTATTTTTAACCCAGGTGTCGTCAACATACCTGAACCAATGGTGGTGTCCCTGAAAAGGACGTCAAGGCTCTCTTTTCTACCTCCTCCATGTACAGGTTGGCAACAATAGGAGAAACTGGAGACCCCATAGCACACCCATGTTTCTGCCTATAATATTGCTCCCCATATGTGAAGTAGGTTGACTGCAGGCTTCACATATGGGGAGCAATATTATAGGCAGAAACTTTATTATATTCCTGCTTTTAACTGTTTTCTTTAGGCATTCAGTTTGACGTTCTTTTTTATCTGTTTATTTTTTTAATTTTATTTATGTTTTACTACAAAGTAAATTCAGATGAAAAAATTACAAATTTCAAACACAACAAAACCTCCATCTCAAAAAAGCCTGAATTTTTGACAAATGTATGATGGGAGTAACAATCTTCTTACCCGGAGGACAAATAAACAACAAACTGTCCAACATGATTAATTCTTCTGAGTTTAATTCACTTTAAATCTCCTTGATTAAAGCAACTTTATAAAAACGTTGGTTTGCAGAAACACAGGTGAGTGTTAAGAATTTAATGAGGGAATCTGGAAAACAAAAAAAAAAGACGAGTAAAAACAAACGGCTCATCTGTAGGCAATGACGTCCAAAACATGAGTATTATTATATTACTTTATTTATCTTTTGTACAATGTAATTACAATACAAATATGTTGGTTTAAATACAAAAATTCTGTAAATAAAGATTAAAAATAAACTCCACTGGTTTGTTTTGTTACCATCACTAAGCTATCGTCTTACAATCAAGTTCTGAGGTCATTAGGTTTGCTTTAATGCAAAACACGTCTGGAACAGGAGGGCGTGCAAACACGACTCAAAAATATATATCTCTAAAGAGACAAGCGTGTTCTGTGAGCAAATCGCTTCTTTTTAAAGGAGGGGGAGGTTTGGATGTGTTCACAGAAACCAGCATTTGGAAGGATTTAAAATGGAGAAATGATTTGAGACCAATCAGAAGGAACTGCTGCCACAGGAAGTGACCAAATAAGGTTGTTAAAAGGATGAGCAGGAACTGGTCTGAACGGGTTAAATCGAATTTTAAAAACATGGAGAATCAACTACAAACATTTCTACATTTCTGTAATATTGCATCCAGCCATTTTGACGTTTTGAACAACAAACATCTTACCTGTTGTGGATGACTTTTTGAATAACACCAGTCTGGAGAAACAAGTTTATTTTCTACAGGACGGATGAGCTAATGGCTAGTCTAAAAACTTCAAGGAGGCTTACACAGTTGCTGTTATATAAAGTTTGACACCCCCAACAAAGTTGTGCTACAAGGTTATCTACAAAACATTCTGTGGTTGGGTGCACACAGCAGTAGCAGGTAGATGTAGCACTCGAGTCTGTCTCAGCAAGAGTTTTAGGACATTTCTGCCAAAACAAATGATGAACTGAAGGACGTGGATCCGTTTGGACCAGACATCAACATGTTTCAAGTAGATCCATGTTCCAAACAATCAAAACCACCCAGAAAGGCACCCGTCCGGGATTTGATCCGGTGACCTTCTCGCTGAGAGGCAACAGCTCTATCAACTGCACCACCGTGCCACCCAAAGACAACTAAATAAAAATAAATAAATGCTTATGCAAATAATACTTTTGTGCTGCCACCAGTTTCAGATTACACAATTATTTTGACTAAATGTTCAAAAAAAAGGTTCAATACAAAAACAACTGGACTTTATTTGTAACAGAAGACGTTTCGCTCCTCATCCGAGGAGCTTTCTCAATTCAAAGAGCAGAGAGTGAGGGGTTCAGGTTTAAGGCTGAGTGAGATAAGACACACACAGGAGTGAAACGTCTCCTGTTACAGAGTCCAGTTGTTTTTGTATTGAACGTTTTTTATTTATCTCCTGGATGACTGAGAATCTTCACCAGCATATTGACTAAATGTTGTAAATTCTTGCCAGAGTTGACAGTTTGCAGTGGAAGTGCTACAGCTAGCTGCTACAGCAGTTGTTTTAATTTATACAGCACAACTTGGAATTATTTTGTTAACAAGTATTTGTTGTAAACTTGATGGTGGAGCCATTAACTCATCAATCCGGTCAGGTTTAAATTCTACTTCTCCAAACTGAGGGTGTTCAATAGGCCATCTAAAACAGGTAAGATAATGATTGTTCCTCACTTTTTCTCAGACCTCCACTTCAAAATGCTAATCCTCTTAAAAGGAACCAAGCTGAAAGTCTTGTAGATGTAAATTAACCATATCAAGAGTTGTATAAAGTTTTTTTTTACGTTTTTTTTTTAGGTCATGTATATAAAGATTCATTTCTCTTTCAAATGTAATCAGAAGTGTTGCTTTGGAGGTTTGAAAAGTGAGAGAAAATGCTCCTGAAGTGTAATTTTATACATAAAATAATAAATAAATAAAAACAGTCACTTCTTCCATCGTGGGCAACGTGAATTTGTTCTCAACAACCTGCCTCCCACTTTTACATCCTGTCTCTCGTTTTTGCATCTTTTAAAGGTAAGACTCCAGGTGTAGCTGCTCCTCTCTACGACTAAACTGTGCTTCTGCTGCTACTTTTGTTCTCTTCACTGAATCTTTGATTTACATTCATGATCGCCTCCTTCTTCCTGTGTTCTCCTCCCTGCACCGGCCCTAAAACACAAGCATTCTGAACACAATGAAGCTTTACCCTGTGATTTATGAAATCTGGATTAGTCATTGGTTCTCAGTCAGTCGCACAGTGTTGTTCAGTCGTTTTTATCCGCTGAGTTGTAAGAGTTCCTCCAAATAACAGCTGTGTGCTTTATAGTCCAGAGTTTCTGTGTGTTGCTTATCCTAAAGTGATTGTTCATTTTATCTGAGCATCACAAGAGAAACGAGCTACGCAGTCGAGAGACGCCGCTCGGACTCAGCAGCAGAGGTGCACAGGTGAGTGAGGACTGCTGCACGCCGCTCTCACAGCTGCAGAGAGGGTGTTGTGGTTATTTGGTTCCTGTCACATGCTTCCCACAGTGCTTTGCCTTCTTTATGGTTCAACCATGCCTGTAAACTCTCTGTAATGTGAAGTTTAGAAAAAAAAGAAATATATGCAGGTCTAAAAAACTATAACTTGCTCCTGGAACACTGCTTAAAATGTCGGACTTTTAAGTACACATAAGCTGTTAGAATAAAAAATACAATACAATAAATAAAATAGTTTTGGCCTTAAATCTCTACTATTGGTCAGTAAGTCGTTTGGGTCCAGTCCTTTCAGGCATCCTAACATCTCCACACATGTTCCAAGGTGACCCCACAAAAGAAATCAAGCAAAAATAATCTCATGGAGTTGGAATGTGGAGTGCCCTTTTAAAGAAAGAAACCACCGGGATCTCCCTCCCACCCCCCACCGTGCTCCTCTCGTGCAATATATTCAGGGACTTCCGGCAGGAAGCGTGAAGCCGGAGCAGAGACGTGAACTCAGGAAGGAGAGGCAGGTAACAGGAGGACTCAAGGGGTTCAGACCATCAGGTTGTAGTTTTGTTCTCCATCACACACGAGATCAAAAAGAAAGAAATTAACATGGTCGCAGCGCTGACTCCTATGAAAGGTCAAAGCAGACTGCATCCCATTTGAACAGAAATTGTGAAATTAGATCCTGACTTCATCGGTTTTAACACCAGAGCTTTAAGATCCTGAATCCATCTCAGAGCTCAATTTCAAAGGTCTTTTGCAGATTGTTGGAAAACGGGTTGGAGGTGGCAGCTGACGCCTTGTTCTCTGCTGCCTGAGGTGCTGGTTTGGTCTCCAGTGCTGCCCACTTGGCTTCAAAACGATCATCGTCTTGGGAGTTGCTAGCTGTTGTTAGCTGGCTGCCCTCGGGGGGCCAGCAGCTACCGCCTCCGCTGCTCCCGGTGCAGCCTGCGGTCCCATTCTGGAGGGTTGTTGTAGCGCTGCTGTGTGGTGGGAGGCCATTGATGGATGTTGATAGTGGTGGGGTGGAGGAAACTGAAGCTGTGGGGAACCCTGCAGATGCACCAGGTGCTCCTGGATAGGAATGGTGCTGTCCGACTGTTCCTAGAGCTCCCACTTTGGATGCTGCTGCAGTCGATCCCATCGCTCCAGCTGTGCCCGATGAGCTTGTGGCGGTGCAGAAGGCGTTGGCCACCATTTGTGATGGCGTGATGCCCACCACAGGCACACTGGCGTTGGGATAGGTCATACTGCTGGCCAGACCAGGCATGTAGGTCTGCATGGGCAGGAAAGCAGGTTGGACCGGCTGGCTGGCAAACATTCCTACAGGAGCTGGGGAGGCATCAAAAGCCAGAGGGAATGGTTGCATGGAGCTTGGAAGGGAACCAGGGGGTCCAGCTAAAGAGGGATGCATCATGGGGGCCCCTGACATGCTTGGACCCGACATGGTGGGGATGGACATGGATGGAAGAGACATTGGGGGACCTGACACTGGTGGACCTGGTATTAGAGGAACAGATGATAGCGACATGGGTGGTAGGGGCATAGAGACTTGACAAGAGAGTGGTTTGGACAAGGCGCTAAGGGGCATGGGGACTGTGGAGACCGGGGCAGATGGCATAGCTGCTTGAGTGGATATGTGGTGACTGGCCATTGAAGGGGGCCCAGGAATAGTGGGGATGGTGGGGCCTGGAGGGGGTGTCTGTTGGGCTTTGACGGCCTTAGATACTTCCTCCAACCACCTCTCAGCCTCTGAAGGAGTGCGTTTGTGTCCACTCTGCATCGCCATGGAAACCGGTGGAGGAGAGTGGAGGGAAGATTCTGGTTGAACCCAGGTCGAGGTAGCTGGAAATTTAGAAGAAGGAGAAGCGTTTCATAAAGTGGTAACACCTCACCACATCAGAATCGCGTTCAAAACACAAATTTGTCACAATTAGTCAGATTCTTCTTACCGTGCATCGGCGCAGGTGGCGGAGGCAGAATGGGAGGCACAGTGCAAGAAGGTGGGTCGTTGGCACACATCGACGGGTTGGAGAAGAACTCGTCCGACGGCTTCGTAAAGGATGTGTTGATCTGGCAGCACAGGGCATTAATACTACTATCCCCTTCACCTGATAGGCCCATGTCCATCTCTAGTACTGGGAAAAAGGGAAACACAGAGGGTTGGTGGAAGAAATTAATGAAAGAAATGTTTGGAATGGGATAAAAAGGAGAGTGAGTCATGAGACAAACAGATAGGGGAGAAGCAACCATCCCAGTTAGCATTAAAGTCAGAGATTATAGAACAAAAAAAGCCTCCTATGAATTAAAAAATATGTTTTTCAGTTCCAACACTGTTTCCTAAAGCCAGTAACTCACCTGACTCAGGGTAAGTTGTGCTTGCTCTGCAAGCAGCATTTGCTTCAGTGCACCTACACTGAGAGTCTGGGGCACGCACATTTCTGCACCGATTGCAGGAGTAAAAAAAAAAAAAAAAAACGCAAAATGTTGGCTAATATTTAGTGTGTTGGAGGTGCACCCCAGCATCTAAGGGCATTACAGACCTAAATCAATAAAATGCTATGACTCAGCAATTTGTCCACCTAACTAGTGTTGCAAAGAAGGTAAACTTCAGGTGGTTTCAAGTGCCCAGCCTGTGTCAACATGATTTGGTGCAGGGTAAGTTTGACCAGGGCAATCCACCTGTCAAACAATAGCACAGGTGTAAGAGCTATGTGTTGTCATTATTGTATGTTCCCATACAATGATGAAATTAGTTCTCTGATTTACCCCATCACACCTGAGATACACCCAGGGGGAGCAGTAGGCAGCTATGTAAGCTGCTCTGGGAGCATATAGGGATTAGATGTCTTGCTCAGAGACACCACGACATGTGGGCATGGTGGGAAGTCGAACCGCAACTTTCTGGTCCCAAGTCAGCTGCCCTACCTCTACACCATCTCAGAGTAACAAGGAGAGTTGAGGGGTGAAACTTCCGGTGTAGCTGAAGGGAAGTCATTATACCTCAGATGAGCAATTATAGACTTTTTCACAATTTTATTGCTCATTTTATTTTGCAAGTTCAGTGCATGCAAAGTAAAAAAAAAAACAAAAAAACAAATTCACTAAATAACAACTCTGGCACTCGAGAATTTCAGAAACTAAATAGAAGCATTAAAGACAGTTTGGATACAACCGCAATAAAACTGACCATTTTGAGAAGAAACTTGTCTTGCAAATTTATTGATCATACTCAAGCTGCACAGAAGTCTGTTGGAGTCAGCCTCCCCACCATCACAGACATCTACACCTCCAGTTGCAGGAAGAGGGCCACCTGTATCATGAAGGACCCCACTCACCCAGCACACACACTTTTTGCCCTGCTCCCCTCAGGAAGGAGGTTGAGGAGCATTAAAGCCTCCAGTATACTGTAGCGTACGTCAGTCCGCATAGGTACGCACATACCAGATTAGAGTTAAAGCGGACTCCCACAGGGCATGTCCGTGCCAAGCTCAATTTTTACGACTGCGTACGTGTACTCAGTCTCGCACAATAAACTACCCAGCGACGGGTTGTTTTGTATGCAACACTGATGTATTAAATTCCTCTTCTTCATCTCTGATCTGGTTTAATGGTCTTTTCTTTTTCTTTTTTTCTTTTTTTTTGCCATAGGCAAGAGATCTCTTCCTCCTCATCCGTTGACGCCATGACTCAAATTGTGAAAAATGAAGGAATTTGGCCCGAGAGAATTAAAATCAGGTCCAGCGTGGCTGCGGGAGGGTCTGAAGATTTCCTGGTGGGCTGGTCTGATGTGTGGGCTGCAGGGCCAGTGCTCCCTGTTTTTTTTATCTTGTTTGTTTTTTTAGAGCTTTTTATTAACAACATATAAACACAGAACACCGCTGCTGCTGGACTGACAGCTCTCTTTTTTTTTTTTTTGCGACCAGTCAATCAATTCAGTAGGCGTGTCAGCAAATGACCAATCAGCGACCTCAATTGGTCCCTAAGGTAAACGCCCCTTGTCTGTGGAGCTGGTCTGCAGCCGCTCAGGGTGGATGCTTGAGTATGAAGTCTGAACCCTCTGTGGACAGTGTGCATAGTTTCCGCCGGCTGACAAGACACACAAGTGTGGAACCACTAGACTGAGGAACAGCTTCTACCCTGAGGATGTTAGACTCATGAATCTCTAACCAGAATAATCACTGTGAAAAATCACATCATGTTGCTGCTGATCTGTTTCATGTTACTGTGTTCATTCATGCTCCTCTGCTCACAAAGACTCGTTCGTGCTGCTGTTCAGTGTATTGTTTTTGTACTACTAGTGTTTGGTGTATTTTAGTTAACATTTTTTTTATTCATATCTTAGATCTTATTACTGTTTTTCTTTTGCATTTTATACTTTTGTTGGATATAACTGGGACCCTGTGTACACAATTTCGTTAAATAAAGAAAGTCTGACTGAAGATACGAGACTGACAAGCAACATGCAAGGATACTGAGAACCCCCGTAAACGGTTCAAGAGCTTCCCTGCAAATTGAAATTCACAGTATGTTACCAGCAGCTGAAGTCCAGTAAGATTATGGCTTAATCAGCACAAAGAGAGAGCGAAAACAGATTTATCATGAAGGTGTAGGATAATTTGTATTTCAAATGATTTGCTGTGATTTGTAATGGAGACAGCTCAGACAAAACGTACCAGAGCTAATAATAAGTAGAGGGACTTGATTAACAGTAATCAATGAATAAAGAATAGAGAAACCCAGAAAAAACTGCTACAAAAAAATGGAAGAATTAAGACAAACCTGCTTGCAAGACTTTATAACAAATCAAAGTTTTTCACACTTTTAGTTTGCCAGCATGTGCATGGTGGGAATTAAGGTGAACTGGGATTACAGACAGCACTCCAAAGTTCCTGAAGAAACTTTGACAAAGACTGCCACATGGCAGCCATTTTAAAATTGTGATTTGACAGTACTATGTGCTGGGGTTCACTCTCAGCTTCCATCATACCAAATTTCAGCTCAACATGGCAAAACATCAATGAGTCTTAGTAATGTTTTTCTTTTAAACTATGGTGGCCATCTTGGATTTTTGATTTGGATTCAGTATGTGAAAGGTTCTCAGCTATAACCACACCAAATTTCAGCTCTATATGTGTAAAAATAACTAAGTTGAACCCATTTAAATTGAGCTTTGGCAGCCATCTTGAATTTTTTTAAATTAATTATTTGTTGGGAATTGGTCTCAGCTACCATCACAACAAATTTCAGCTTAAAATTTCTAAAAATGGCAGATTTACAGTATTTCCCCTTTTTAAATCAAGTGGATGTCTTGAATATTTTATTTGCAACCAGAGTTTATGGAAAATGACTAATAAAAATGGCATATTTGTTTGCAAATTATGTTGCCGTGGTAACTCGAAACACCAATAAAAGTAATAGCACACATCACGGTGCCGAGCCAGTCGTTTTGATATAACATTTATGGGAGTACATATTGTGGTTTGGGCCGCATTAAAGTTGATGGAAGAGTAAGATATAAAGTTAAGAACCTATTGTCAGGTGGATAATAATAGGTGGCTGCCTTACTAGGTAGTCCCCAATAAATTACTATAGAACAGAACAGAAAGGCTGATTGTACGTGAAACCCTGCTGCTGTTCTATCCTGGTCCACTCTTTGAATTTGAAAAAGAACTGGTTGTATCTTAAAAGACCTTAAAGTGTGTCAAAGGGAGCAGAGGGTGCAGGACTTTGCAAAAACTGACCAGTGATCCAACTTTTTTCTCTTCTAGTCTACATCCCTCTGAGCTCAGAGGTACCTAAAGACTCTGAGCTATGTGTTTTTGTTATTCTCTGTGCAGTGGCAGTTTTGGAGGACTTGTGGAAATCTAACTAGGACAGCTGATTGATGGCCCAAATCAATACAAACTTTGTTCAGGAAGTCACACAGGAGAAAGGAAGCAGCAGAATTGAGCTGCTGCCGTTTAGTGAGCGTATCTGAGCATATCCTGAGTGAGCTGACATCCTGCACAGAAGAGATCAGCTTTGGGCTACAGACAGACATTCTGGCTCAGACACTGACTGGTTGCATTTTCAACAGCTGCGGAATAAATGTACAACTTCCATTAAAGCTGCAAAATGTTATTACGGTACATCTTATCGCAGACCTCCAAAGATCTAAATGAGCCTATAAGATTCTGGAAAACCATCAAATCTCTCTCCAGCAGCTCTCATTCGTCTAACCTGCCATCACAGCTTCTTGTAAACTCTGTTCCTGTGTCAAATAAGCACGAGATCCTGAACTGTTTCAATAGACGTTTTGTTGCTTCGAGTTCTTTGTTTTTTCATTCATTCAACCTTTATTTAGACAGGTAATCCCATTGAGCCTCGAGGACTCATTTACAAGAGAGACCTGATTTCAACAAAGAAAGATGACAACAATGGACAACAGTAACAACAATAAACAATTATAAAAAGTCATACTGCAGTTTTTTTTTTTACAAATAGGATGTTTGCCACAGTTACTAATGCTAGATCAGCCACTTCTCCTCTAAGCCAAACATCTACAAATCATATCTCTACCTCAGTAAAACCACACCCTTTCATTTTCACTGTTTTCTGTTAGTGAGGTTAATAAATTGTTAAAAGGTCTAGACTCTAAAAAATCAGCAGGCCCTTATGACTTTCTTCTTATTTCTTAAGGCTGGCCACACACATCATCGCAGAGCCAGTGTCTCACAACTTGAATTTGTCCATAAGCCAAAATACTGTTCCAAATGTTTGGAAAACAGCCTTTGTTCTACCTTTACTGACGGGTGGAGACCCCACCTCACTGAACAATTATCGACCAATCTCTAAACTCTGTATTTTAGCCAAGCTTCTAGAAAAACTGATAAACTCAAATCAAAAAAGTATTTGGACTCATTTAACATCTTACCTCCCCATCAATCTGGTTTCAGGAAACAACACAGCACAACGACTGCTTCACTGAAGGTTCTTAATGACTTTGATGAAGTATTGGATGCTAAGGATTATTGTGCTGTACTTTACCTAGACCTGTCTTAAGCTCTTGACACTGTGGATCATAACATCTTGTGTCATAAGTTCTCAGAAACTGGTTTCTCAGAACACACCATTGGTTGGTTCTCTAACTATGTCTCAGATCGGAGGCAATGTGTTCAACATTATGGCACTTCTTCCAGTTATCTGACTGTTAACAACGGAGTACCACAAGGCTCAGTCTAAGGACCCACCCTCTTTACGATCTACATAGGTAATGTAGGTCAGACCATCCCTGATGCATCCATACATTTCTATGCTGATGACACAGTTGTTCATTGCCGAGCTAAAACAGTTGCTAAGGTTTTCCAGCTTTTGAAATCTGCCTTTGACATCATCCAGTCTGATTTGTTCCACCTCAAACTTGTTCTAAACACAGACAAAACCAAAGGGATGCTGTTTTCAAACAGGAAGTCGGTCCCAGCAGTTCTTCCCTCGATTTTATCTTTGACTGGTGCTCCTGTTGAGTTTGTTGATTATTACAAATACTTGGGTATCTTGGTTGATTTTCATCTCTCTTTTAAGCTCCATGTTGAAAACTTGGTAAAGAAACTGAAAGTTAAACTGGGTTTCTTTTTCAGAAACAGATCCTGTCTAACTCTGAATGCTAGGAAACGTCTTGTAACTGTGACTTTCCTTTCCTCCATTGACTACAATGACATTATTTACATGAATGCTCCTACAAGCACCCTGCAGATGTTGGATGCTGTCTATCATGGTGCACTACGATTCATAACTTGCTGTGATTATCGTACCCACCATTGCACCCTGTATTCACTGGTTAACTGGACATCATTAACTTCATGTAGACTTTCTCAATGGTACATTTTAAATCACTTTTGAGTCTGTTGTCTTCATACATCTCCTCCTACATGTCACGGCATGTAGGGCTGGGCCATATCATATCATTCATGATAATACCTGTATAAAAACTTGCCCAGGAAAATAAATGATATTATGATATGCTAATTTCATGACATAAATGTCATTGTTTCCCCTTAGACAAGCTGGGCACCCCGCTCTGTTAACAGAACCGAGTGCACTGAACTACTGAACTGAACTGCGCACCCCCCCACCCACCTGTCAGTACTGGTGTAACGCTAATTAGCTGCACACAATACTAGCTAGCTAAAAACAAACAACTTGTGGCTCAGCTGTGTTCCTCCACCCAGCTCTAAACTGCGGGTACAGACAGTGCACAGCTCAACTGTCTCTCCCTCCCCTCCACCCTGCTCTAAGCTGCCGATATACACACAGCTTGGCTGGGTCTCTTGAGTTTCACAGTCGGTCCATGGACCAAGATCAGAGTCAGGTGATGAAAAACAGAGCATCAGAGAAATGAATCATTCCTGCAGAACAGAGGAAGCTGAAACACCACAAGCTTCAGGGTCAGCTGATCATCTTGTTAAGTTCTGGAAGTTATAGCTCATTTAAAGGAAACATATTTTTTGTTGTGTTACATTTATGCTCAACAGATCTTAAGCTTCATTTTATTCAGTTATTTTGGGAAACTTCACCTGCACTTTAGTTTTTGTGGTGGATTTTGTTGATCTATACCTTGTGCAGACTTTTTCAATCTAAATAACAGAAGGATCATTTTTATTTTTATACTTTCAGACTGAATACTTTACTAAATACAGTAATTTCAGTAAAATTAACCCTTGTTGTTTTTTTAGTTTTTATATAATACAATGTATTATACAACAATATATAAAGCAATGTGTTAAGTTAATTTTGTCAAATGGATAACTATGATTTCTGTTGTTTTTTTTTGTTACATCACAAAATTTATCGTTATCGTCAGAATGCTCGGAAATATCATAATATTATATTTGAGCCATATCGCCCACCCCTAACTGCGTGAGTGCAGCTACAGCGTGCGCTCTCAGGACATTACATGCAGTGTTTCCTCAATGAGAACTGAACTAGGCAAAAGGGTCTTCTCCTACTCCGCTCCTGTTTCATGGAATATCTTGCAAAAAGATCTGAAGTTCTCGACCTTGACCTCTCTAAGTGATTTTAAACTGTACTTTTCATTTGATATGCTTTTTACATAATTGTCAATTGTTGTCTGTACCTCATCTGTGTTCTTTGCTGTATAAATAAAGGTTGAATCAATGAAAGAAAAAACCTATAATCAACGCCTTGGTCTTGTGGCACCACACCGAGTTGTGTGCATGTACAACCTGCCAAGGCTAAGTGGCTCATAGAAATATAGAAAACTACACAAGCAACAAAAGCACATGTGAGATAAACAGGAAAGGGGTTTTCTGTTTCACCAGACATTTCACACATTCATGGAGAGTTAGACAAGATTAAACAGAATACCTATAGAAAAAAGGCAGGTTTAAATGTTAATAAGATTTCTCTGACCCCTTCAGATAAGGGTCAGCCGTGATATGCTGCAGCCAAATGGAAAATGTAATAAAGCTCCGATAAATAACCGTGACGCAAGAGGAATGCCGAGTCTCTGCAGCGAGGCGACAACAACGTTTCTCAAGTCTTTCTGGAATAACAAAAAGTGATTCTAATCAATCATTTTAATAAACATTACACACACAAGCAGAAGAAAAGATTTAATATGATTACACGGAGGGAATTTTGATGTTGAATAATTTGTGCCACTCTGACATAATTCTCTGAGCTGTTTTCTGTGAGGCAAGTTTTAGGAGCTGTAATGGAAACACTCGAGGTTTTCCCATTCTCCATCAAGGAACTTGTTTCAAAATGTCTGAAAAATCACAAACTAGACAATCATAAAGGATGCGTACAAATTGATGTTTTTTAACAAGTGAAAATAAAATGGTATTTAAAAGGAAAACTAACAACAACAAAAAAACAGCTTAGTTGTAGGGCGGTGTAGAAAACTAAAAACAGGAACATGTCTGCATTGTTTATTGCCAGGAACTCAGCAGATGTTTGAAGCCACTTAGAGAGGTCAAGGTCGAGAGCTTCAGATCTTTTTGCAAGATATTCCAGGAAACAGGAGCGGAGTAGGAGAAGTCCCTTTTACCTAGTTCAGTCCTCACTGAGGGAACACTGCAGGTAATAATGTCCTGAGAGCGCACGCTGTAGCTGCACTCACGCAGAGACATGTAGGAGGAGATGTATGAAGGCAGCAGACCAAGAAGTGATTTAAAGATGAAAATGCACCAGTGAGAGAGTCTATGTGAAGTTAATGATGACCAGTTAACCAGTGAATACAGGGTGCAAAGGTAGTTACAGCCAGTTATGAAACTTAATACGCCGTCCTAGACAGAATCCAACCTTTGGCCACCCCAATCATCTGCGGAAACTAGTTTTAAGCAATCAAAGAATTAGAAAGCGTAGTTTCCTCAAACGATTGGGGTGGCTGGTTTACATATACTGTATCTATAGTGGTGGCCATCTTGGATTTTGATGCAACACTCAATTTTTGTTAGGGACTTTTCATTCATAGATAGATATTTTTTCCATCGTCGACAGGGTGGTCCCTAACAGTTTGCTGGCTATGGTTACTATACTCAAGGATTTTTGCATCTAAATGTGCCACACACCAAAATGCAAGTCGATAGCTCACTTTTTTAAAGTTATCACACTCACAACACAGACGGAGGGTATTTACATTACAGTTCCCCCAACAACAGGGGACAAAAATAGTTTGGAAGCCCCAGTTCTGGTGTACAGTGAATGCAACATAAAATGAAGTAAACTTTAGGAGAAGAAAAGATGAGCAGTCCTGATTTATTTTATCTTGAAACTAAGAAGCGATGAATAAAAGACGGAGTTGTGTTGAAGTTCATGAGTTCACTGAGTTCAGACAATTGAATTTATACTATTGAATATTCAACAGAACAATTTTAAATTTAAATTAAATGCAGATTGGTCATATTTTGATACGGGAGCAGTGTGCATTATATTGTGTTGGAGCTGCCATGGTTTAATTTAAATCAATTGTATAGATTTTAAAACCAAAACAGAGCAGTTGGTGCACTGATATCTTCCTTGGACAGCTGTCCTACAAGAGAAAGGTTGATGTGCAGCATTTTTACTATATGTCCAATGGTCCTTATTTCCCACTATTAAAAGTGTAAAAAGAATTAACATGGTCTGAGCTAAGACACTGTAAAAAGTTTTTTTTTTTTCACAGCTCCAAAGCAGAAACTCTTACATAGAACTTATCCTGCAACTCTTCTTCCTGCATTTCAAGTTTGAAGCCTTTTAGTTTATTAATCTAAGGCTATCGAGGGCAGAACATCAACTGGTGTCAACACGAGTCCATCCATCCATTATCTTTATCCGCGTCTTCCTTTCCTCTCTTCAAAAGTGTCTCGACTCACCGGGGTTTTTGGCCTCGAAGTCTGTCTTGCGCTGAAGCGTAGATGGCAGGTCGTTGAGGCGGAGCGACAGCTGTCTCTTAAAGGGGGAGTTCTTCTGGCTCAGAGCTGGAAATCCCCTGAAGGATCCCTGGCGCACCAGCTGCTCAATGGGCGCATGGCGGCGAGGGATGGCATGAGGGCCGCCTGGTTCTGGGCGCTCCATTGGAGATGCCGCCCCTTCGGGTGGGGAAGCAGCGCCCGGTGGGAGTGCTGGGATGGCAGAAGGCAGATCTGGGAGAGGGGGAAACAGGGCTGCATTGATTACTGCTCTTATAAATAAATAAATAAATAAATAAATAAATAAATAAATAAATAAATAAATAAATAAATCTTATCAATAAATATTGTACAGAACTCTATGATTTGTTTGTTTTTTACAACGGAGTATTAGGGCCACGCTAAGAAAATTTTTTTTACATATGAGAAAAAAGTAATGAAATTACGAAAATAAAGCCAAAGTATTATGAGAATAAAGTCGTACAAAAAATAAAGTCATAATATTACGAGAATAAAGTCATAGTATTATGAGAATAAAGTCGAAATATTAGGAGAATGATGTCGTATGACAGCAAAGTCATAATATTACAAGAATAAAGTCGTACAACAATAAAGCCATAATATTACGAGAATAAAGTCGTACAAAGATAAAGTCATAATATTACGAGAATAAAGTCATAGTATTATGAGAATAAAGTCGAAATATTGGGAGAATGATGTCGTATGACAGTAAAGTCATAATTTTACGAGAATAAAGTCGTACAACAAGAAAGTCATAATATTGCGAGAATAAAGTCATACAACAATAAAGTCATAATATTATGACAATAAAGTCGTACAACAATAAAGTCATAATATTATGAGAATAAAGTCATAGAATTATGAGAATAAAGTCGAAATATTAGGAGAATGATGTCATATGACAGTAAAGTCATAATTTTACGAGAATAAAGTTGTACAACAAGAAAGTCATAATATTACGAGAATAAAGTCATACAACAATAAAGTCATAATATTATGAGAATAAAGTCGTACAACAATAAAGTCATAATATTATGAGAATAAAGTCATAGAATTATGAGAATAAAGTCGAAATATTAGGAGAATGATGTCATATGACAATGAAATCATAATATTACGAGAATAAAGTCATACAACAATAAAATCATAATATTACAAGAATAAAGTCATAGTATTATGAGAATAAAGTCATAATATTAAGAGAATAAAGTCGTACAACAATAAAGTCATAATATTACAAGAATAAATTCATACAACAATAAAGTCATAATATTACAAGAATAAAGTCATAGTATTATGAGAATAAAGTCGAAATATTAGGAGAATAAAGTCGTACAACAATAGTCATAATATTACGAGAATAAAGTCGTACAACAATAAAGTCATAATATTACAAGAATAAAATCATAGTATTATGACAATAAAGTCATAATATTAGGAGAATAAAGTTGTACAGCAATAAAATCATAATATTACCAGAATAAAATCATAATATTATGAGAATAAAGTTGAAATATTAGGAGAATGATGTCAAAATATTAGGAGAATGATGTTGTATGATAATAAAGTCATAATATTACGAGAATAAAGTCGTACAACAATAAAGTCATAAT